AATTTGTTTTTTTACGAAATATTTATTCATTATTACGAAATATTAATTCGTTTTTACGAAACAATAATTCGTTTTTTTAGTAAACATGAACAGTCACGATACATTCATTCAGTAATAAGGAAAACAAGCAAAATGAGTCATCTATATGTAATATTATTAATGCAGATCTTTTTGATATAGTTGAACAAGATATTTTTTATTTCGAAAAATTAGGTACAGTTTTGCTTGCAGGTGACTGGAACTGTAGAGTTGGAAACAAAAATGATTATATTTTATGTCATCCGGAAATTCAAACAATTGATTGCAAAAATTATGACCCCGATAAACCAATAGTGCGGGCCTCATCCGATACTGTATGTAACACACGGGGTATTAAATTGCTCGATTTGTGTAAGTCAACGTGTATGCGATTAGCTAACGGTAGATTAGGTGATGATTTTGCCACTGGCTCGTATACAAATTATTGTCGTCAGACGCGCAGTGCACTAGATTATCTCTTGTTACAAGAAAAACACTTTAGTATAATACACGATTTTAGAATAAGTGAATTCAATATTTACAGCGACCATGCATTACTTTTATTTACGATTAAAGGCGCTTCACCCGGTATCGATGAAACAATAACAAACCAACAAGGTGTTTATTTTAGATGGGATGTCGATTGTAAGGGTCAGTTTAGACGTGGTATTATAGGAATTTTACCACGATTTAACGATATTTTAAATAGCAATGTTGCCAATTCTATTGAAATAGAACAAATGGTTCTTGATTTTCACATTTAGTGTCCGATGTAGCAGATCCATTATTTAAGCATATTTTTAGTAATGGTAACAACCGTTCATATCCAGAGAGCAAATGGTTTGATTCTGAGTGCGCTCAGGTGAAACGTATATATAAAAATGCATTAGCTTTATTAATAATAAATCGACTGAATCTAGGTTTTCACTTTGCAATAAAAAGAAATCTTATAAAAGTTTGATACGTTAAAAGAAACGCGCATATAAAATTAAAAAGACAGATGAACTTACCCGTCTGAAAAACAGTAAACCTAAAGATTTTTGGAAGCATTTTAAAAACAAGGGAGAGACTACTGACTCACAAATTCCTATTGATGATTTCCGCGATTATTTTAAAGGGATTTTTACTGATATTCAAAGCACATTTATTGAACAAGTTGAAAATTTCAATAGCAACAATGATTTCAATATCAATAATGCAACTTTCGAGGAATTAAATACTCCTATTACTTGTAATAAGGTACTGTCAGCAATTAAACGTCTTAAAAGTAACAAATCATCTTGCCCAAGCGATAATTTGTTAAACGAATATTTTATCTCTACGACAGATATACTCGTTTGGCATATTACAGATTTATTCAATAAGATATTTGATTCTGGTCACTTTCCCGAAATTTGGTCTCAAGGCTTTATAGTGCCATTACATAAAAAGGTCCAAAAAATACCCCGAATAATTATCGTGGAATAACTCTCATTATTAATTTTGGAAAACTTTTTACTTCTGTTTTTACTAGAAGAGTTGAAAAATGGTTTGATGATAACAATTTTTTATCAGATGCACAGTTTGAGTTCTGAAGGGGTAGTAGTACAGTCGACGCGGTATTTGTTTTACACAACTTGATAGAACATGTTTTAACTCAAAAATGCGACTGCCATACGCTTTTATAGATCTCACGAAAGCGTTTGAATCTGTTTATAGAAACGCTTTATGGTTCAAATTGTTTAACATGGGTTTTGATGGAAATTTTTTAAAAATGTTCCAGGCTATGTATACTGTTGTTAAATCATGTATTAAGTATTGCAACACATTCTCAGACTTTTTTGAAATTTCAATTGGTCTTCGTGTCCGGTTATGTTTGCACTTTTTTAGAGGACTATATTTACAAAACAGAATAAATTGTGGTTTGTCAATTTTTGAACTTTGTATCATTATTTTACTATTTGCTGATGATATAGTGTTAGTAGGACATTCTATAGAAGATTTACAATCCAGTCTAAACTATTTAGGAGTAGTTTTAAATTATACGGGTTCATTTGTTTTACATAATCAATATATTATTGGAAAAGCCTTAAAAGCATGTAACGTTCTACAAATTAATATTAATAAGGTAGAATTATCACCATATATTTCTTTACAATTATTTGATTCTTTTGTTGGCTCAATTCTGAATTATGCATGTCCTGTATGGGGATTTTCTAAGTCAAAAGATATTGAAAGTGTACATCTCAAATTTTGCAAATATATTTTAGGCGTTAAGAAAAGTTCCAGCAATAGTGCTGTATACGGAGAATTAAGAAGATACCCTTTATATATAAACAGATATGTTCAAATGATAAAATATTGGTTGAAAATTTCAAATACAAATAATATTATTTTAAATACGGTATATAATAACTCATTAAAACAATGTTTAAATGGTGTCAAAAATTGGACATACAATGTTAAACTATTATTAGACAATTATGGTTTTGCAGATATATTTTTGAAACCAAATGAAATTAATATAAATGCATTTTTGGTACATTTTAAACAAAGAGTTTTGGATTGCTTTAAACAAAAATGGCAAGCAGATTTATACAATAATAGTGTTTTATACACTCTTTATATTCATCTAAAAACAGATTTAAATTTTGAAAATTATTTAAATACTATCAAATCAAAATATCTAAGGAGTAGTATTACGCGTTTAAGTATTTCTTCGCATAATCTTAGAATTCAAACAGGTAGATATGGTAGGAATAGAATAGATAGACAGGAAAGATTATGCCAAGTGTGTCAATGCTCTGAGATTGAAGACGGGTATCATTTTATTCTTATATGCAGTGTTTACCATGAATTAAGAATTCGATTAATTAAACGTTATTTTTTATCATAAACCCAGTATGTACAAATTCATAGAAATGCTCAAGTCAAACAATAAATCTGTTCTTAACAATCTTAGCAAATTTATTTATTTAGCCAATAAGAAAAGAAATGATTTATTGAATTCATATCCTAGACTTTAAGACTTTAACAATATTCATTATATTCAATGTTAGACACTTTATTAGTGAACAATTGCTGTTATTCAATATCTAATTCATGTTTATTAGAGCTTATTCTCCATAGTGTATAAACTGAAACATTATTATTCTCTTTCATTTGAATACCAACCGTGACAAAATGTTTTATATGTATTGATGTATAACGAGATACATGTAAATGTATAAGTAAAATAAAATTTCTTCTTCTTCATATATTTAAGTAATTGGCCTGACAAAGAGTTTGAATTGAAGGTCATTGTGAGCTTGACACCTCACAATCAAAAGTGGTCATTTGCAAGCCTAGATCAACAATGCCACCAAATATAACGGTTATAAGTCTAATGGTTCTCAAGTTATGATATTTTAGTGAACAGGGTTTTTGAATGAGAATTTATTTTTAATCCAAAACATCCCCTTTTCCCCTTTTCCAAAAACATATAACAAACAGCTGGCAAAAATTTAAGATGTTTTAATTTCTGAGTCAATCAATCTTTTCTTTAAAAAACAAATGACTATAGTATTACTTTCTATTAATACACATTAGTAAAACTTGAAGGGGCTGGCTTCCAGATTTTCACTTAAAATATATATCCTATAAATTTAAGTATTGTACATAAGGTGACATTTTCCACACTTTTTTTCTCGAAACTTAATTCGTTTTCACGCAATATTAATTCGTTTTTACGAAATATTAATTCGTAATTACGAACTATTAATTCGTTTTTGCGACCTATTAATTCGTTTTTACGAAATATTAATTCGTTTTTACGAAATATTAATTCGCAATTACGAAAAATTAATTCGTAAAAACGAAATGTTATTTCGTAGAAACGAATTAATTTTTTTCTAGGGCGTCAAAGAGTTTTGGTAATATTTATAAAGAAGGACTTGAAACTAAGTCCCTGACTAAATATAAGGCATGTAAATGCAATACAAATAGTGATTCTTTTCTCCCCAAGTTTTTTTTACTTAACACTTATGTATATAAATTAGAATAATCGTCTGTCAATAGCGTTGCCGCCACAGCCATGATAGTACACGCGCTAGGAAAATTGTGCTAAAATTGGGGTCCTGTGCTTCAAATCCATCGTTTCGTCGATGTTATTGAGTTTTGAAATAAAGTATTATGTTTTTACGATCGCACAGTGCCCATACATAAATTGAAAGGAAATATACTTTTTTAAATTGATAAGATAAGTGAAAATCTGGAGCCCGCTTTTTTAGTTTTACTTATGTATATGGTAAAAGAAAGTAATAATTTGGCATTGTTTCTTTTTTAAAGAAATTAAAGAAACATGTCAGAAAAGATAAATAGCCTCAAAAATATGCCATCTGCTGGTGAATATCACATCATATTCAATGGCACACTTGTTAATAATTGTATAACAATGGAAGAAGTATTGTCTTCTTAACAGTTATTTTTCGTATTGGTATATTCTTTTTTCCAATGTCCTATACTATTTATAACTTTCTTAAGTTTTTCATTAAAATTTAACTCTTACAAGTTTGTCTAAATCAACACCACGTATCAAACCTAACAATTGAAACGGTGTTTCATCCCATGTCAGTTTCCATTTTGTCTTAATGGATCTTGTACAGTACTTAAGAGAGCCTATCCGATAACTTGAGTTTGTCAAAATTTACCTTCAATCCTGAAATCTCTGAAAATATATTCAATATCTTTAAAATAGTATTAAGAGACTTTTCTGATCCATCTAGCAAAAGTGAAGTATCATCAGCAAATTGTTTAATTTTATTTTCCTCCCATCTATATGTATACCTTCATTATGTATACTTTGTCTTATTTTTATTGCCTAAAGCTCTACACATAAAATGAAGATATAAGGGGAAATTGGATCGCCTTGCCTACAACTTCAGTTAACTTTGAAAATATTTCATAAAAAATAAAAAAATAAAATGAAATAATAAAATTAAAAAAAACATTTAAAATAACACAAGTTTCAGTATTTAATGTATTAGAAATAGGACCAAAGTGAAAAAGTTATAAACATTTTTCTATAAATGTAAAAGATAAAATATCAAAAGCTTTTTCAAAATCTACCATCATTACTAAACCTAGTATATCATTATCTTCAGTATATTTCATAATATCATGCAATAATTAAGTATTCTCACCATTATATCTATTTGATCTTTTTGAAACTAAAATATCTTAAACAAGTTTAAGTCTATTTGCTATGGAACCTTAAAGCAGCACGCCTCCAGATTCATGCTAATTTTCATGAAAATGTGAAAATATATTTAATAGTATAATAATGTAAAGTTTCCAAAAGAATGCAATTTACACATTATCAATGACACTTAGAACCCATGTAAATTGCTATAAAGAGGTCAAAATATGCAAAAATAGACCTAAAGTAATGGGTTAGTAACGCAGTAGAAATATAGTTATAAATACTGAAAAATCGGTCAATAATCGCTAATAACATGTAAATTATTACTAGATTTTGAATTTTTATACCTTTCCTAGAATCTTAGTACATTTTTTATCAGGTTTGATTTTATCGAACTATTTTTGCTCATCTGGAGGCGTGCAGCTTTAAGCTAACTTATAAACTACATTTAATAAAGTTATTGGTCTCATTTTTTTTTTAAAATTGCTTTGGTTTGTTTTCTTTTGGAATGCATGTACAGATATTATTCCACATAACTTAAATTCTCAACTATAATGGTACTTAAGTTTTATTTTTTTCTAGTTCAAGTTTAAGTAGCATACTAATTTGTTTCTTAACATAATTGAAGAATGAATCCATGATTTAAGCCAACTTTCATATCTTCCTAATAATGAGTATGTACTAGTAAATCTCGCCAGAGTTTAAATAATAACACAATCTGACTAGTTACACGATAGAAAGAGCTTTCCATGTCTTTTGTACATGTTTTGACAAATTGTCTCCATATTTAACAAGCACTGTAAAGTCAATAACTTTGTCATGGTCTTCTGGCTTTCCGATATTTCGATAGTGATGCACTAGTGCAAGTTCAGGAGGCACAATAAATATTCTTCCGCGTGGAATCTCATGCACATTTCCAAACTCAACAACTTCTGCTCGGGCAAAATATTTTGAGCGATGGTTAGGCGGCCATATTTTTTTCTCGTGTTCGAAATGGGTAAGTGTTACTAGATTGTATTTTTCTGCAAAACGTTTCTCAGAAAAATTTTGATTCTTCAACTTCCAGTCTAATCGAAAGAATGAGTGTCTCACAACGTAACCGGCATAGTTTTTGTTAAATTTATCGATCAGCTGTGACCAAGTTATGATGTCATTAGAATGAGGAATAATGTATTCATCTTTATCAATATTGACGATGAATTCCGAAACATTTTTATTTCGGAAAATACAATCATTTATAGCCGCCTTTTGAGCAAAATATTCAATATTACGTTCAATATCAGGAAATGGTAAATTCCATTGAATAACGTCAATCAAACCTAATTTCACGTAATACTCAATGGCATTATTAACATTTACACCTGTTGAGTAGTTATAAAAAACAAACTTTTCAGCACCAAGAATTCTATTTAGTTCAACCCACTCGACCATCTGGAAAATGTTATCATATTTAAACACTGGTGACAAACATACAGTAAAACGACGCTGATATCCATCTGGTTTAGAGGCATCACGAACTTTTAAAAGGTTTCTTGGGATTTCACAGGAAGCCATGACAAGGGAGACGTACTCGGGTTGTTTTTCTGTCGTTTGCACTTTACATTCATAGATTGTAGACGTGAAACTGAAAAGAAAAGAAGAAAAAACTAACTGACTTTACAGTTCATTTTCAAACAACCGAGTGATTATTTATAAGAAATTACTTCAAAAACAATCAATAACATATCATGCAGCCGCCATAACATCTGCCCGATAACACTAGCCTGAACTTATTTTCGATATCAGGTTAGTAATCTGTAACCTGATAAAAAAATAAAGCTACACCAGTTGCAAAGGACTTTTTTAAATAGGTTATAGTCTCATTTTTACCTATTAGCATTTTAAATCTATAATAATTATTTTATCTCATATCCTTGCAAGTCTTAAATCAAGATTTAATGTTTATCATTTTTATTTCGATTTCAAATATAAACAAATTAGATAGCGAAATGTTAAGGACAAAATTAATTGAGTGACTTCATAATTTGATTTGCAAATGACAGCATCGATGCCAACGTAAAGTCGTTATATTATAAACATAACGATTTAAAGTCGTTATATTATAAACATAACGATTTGTTTTCGACAATTATTAATGCCCATTTTCTAAAAAATTCCCTACCTACCTACCTACCTATTTAGCATGCATGCATCCATGCATGTATGAGTGTGTGCGTGTGCGCGCGTGTGTGTGTTTGTGTGTGTGTGTGTGTGTGCGTGCGTGCGAATTGAAAAACCTAATCATGACTTTATTTATTTTCTTTCTTTATTTTAGCATACAGTATGTCATTTTATATTATTTTATGAAGTAACATTTAATCAGTATGCTGCAAATAACTATAACCCGATAACCATTCATTTGCAGTTTAAGTGACATTACGCCCATCAAAGTGCAAATGATGAGGGCACTGGTTTAAATACTTTACATTTTGTCATAACTATGGTCAAAAAAGAATGGGACAGTCTTTAAATATTATAGGTATCTTTAATATTTTATCCCATTCATTTTCCATTAGGAGTTATTGGTCAAAAAAAATGTTATAATAGTCCAAATCTCTTAGATTATTGGAGAGGTCATCAGACCTCTCCACCTGCTGGCGGCATCCATTTTTTAGTATCTGATTGTAATGAACGAATCTCATTTAAAGCGTAAAATCATTAGGAGCAGTCTACAAAAATTATTTTGCGCATGCTCCGTTTCAAAATACGACATAACTTAAACGAAAAAATAAGATCGAAATGAACAAATCGGTACATAGAAAAATCGGAAAATTTTATTTACGTTACTTAGCTCTACGTGGATGTTTCATTCCGTTTTAATCTTTTATATTGTATAAATCGATTACCGTATTGTTTTTCTGAATAGCGTTTTACTATTTCATGTTTCGATAAATAGTAAAAGTGAACATTACAGTACAATATCACCATGCACTATTATCTGACCGAGTTAACCGTGTACCGGTGTAGCGTGAGATTCGTCAGACCCGTGAAAAATGTAAGATCTTACGAATCTCACGGGAGGGTCGTGAAAAATGTCAGACGTGAGAAACATTATTCATTATTACACATATTACAAGTTTCATAAAAAATATTTCTATTACTTTTTGTGTTAACACTGGATCCAGTTTATGTGTAAAAATTGCTATATCTTCAGTCTATTTGTTGCCATAGCAACCAGAATTTTCAACATAGGAAGAAAAAAAAAAGACGTGCATAATCTCCATACTGCCATCTATCCATATATCAAGTTTCATAAAAATATTTCCAGTACTTTTTGCGTTATCACTGGATCCAGTTTATGTGTAAAATATGCCATATTTTCAGCCTTTTTGTTGCCATAGCAACCAGAATTTTCAACATAGGAAGAAAAGAAAAAGACGTGCATAATCTCCATACTGCCATCTATCCATATATCAAGTTTCATAAAAATATTTTCAGTACTTTTCAAGTTATCGCGGGATCCAGTTTTGTGGACGGACGGACTGACAGACAGACGGACGGACAGACGGACGGAGGGTAAACCTAAAGTCCCCTCCGGTAAACCGGTAGGGGACTAATAACATATTTCAAGTAAAAAAATCTAAATTTATGGGGAGATAATTCTTGCAATATTGGTGCTAGAGATATCCGTTTCCCGAAAAAGTGAAAGTGAAAATTTTTTTATTGCACCAAGACTTCGTATAGTGAAACTAAAAAACATTAACCGGGTACAATATGTGAAAGTGCTTGCCTTAAGTTCAATCTTGTTATCTTGCAAAGTTTCATACTGGTTTAAAAGGAGTAATGTGCACAAATTTTATAAATAAACAAGAGGGCCATGATGGCCCTGAGGTCGCTCACCTGTATATGTTTCATGCTTAACATCTAAGCTAAAGGTCAATGGGTTTTTTTAAAGAAGATTTTTACTATAAACACATAGTTAAAAACAATGACATCCCTGTGGCGGGGCAAGTTTTGACCCCAGGGGTTTTATTTAAACAAATTTTGCAGACACTTACTAGAAGTTGTTTCATGCTTAATATCTAAACTCTAGCTATTTCGGTTTTTTCAAAGAAGATTTTTTCAGTTTTTGCTACATACATATAAGGAAAATCAATGACCCCGGGGTGGGGCCAATTTTGACCCCAGGGCTTTTATTTGAACAAACTTGGTAGACACTCATTAGAACATGTTTCATGCTAAATATCTTAGCTCTAGCTCTTTGGGTTCTTTAAAAGAAGATTTTTTAAGTTTTTACTATATGCATATTGGGAAAATCAATTACCCCCTTTGGCACAACACAAAAGGTATTTCACAGGGCCAATGATAAAAAATAAATCACTTATTCAAATGCGAGCAATTGACACAGTGCTAGAACAGGCAGCATTTAGTAGATCCCTGGGTGTAATATGCCTTTAATAAAATTGCCTTTTTTAAGGATATAAACCACATTTATGTGATATTAAATGGACGTGAAATTGTATAATCGAATCATCCTTAAATGTCTAAATCCATAGAGCTTTTGGGAGCTGCGCCCCCTTTACCCCATCCAGGGCCCTGCCCTGGACCTGCAAGGGGGCCCTATTGACCTCCTGTGTAAACATTTGTGCGTATATTTAAAATGACCCAGCTACGCCCCTGACAATGAGTGTCAATAAGAAAATTTATAATATTTGTGTACACATTAACAAATGACAACAATCATTTTAATTATTCAAAGTCAAATTAAATGGAACTAAATCTATAAGTATTAAACCCCTTTACCTGATGTTTTATTTAATCTAACTGTTATACGACTAAACAATTAGCATGGTCAATGAGGATCATTTATCAAAGGGGAGTAACTATGTGTAATTATTACAACAATAATGAAGTCATATATTAAGGTTTCTTTCTCCAGACTGCATAAATTCCAAATATTTGTTGATGTGACTCACTGTCTGATACAAAAGTCTTCATAACAAATATCTTAGATTTTGGCATTATAATTTTACACAAAGCTTAATTGATTGTTTTACTGAAGTATTTTAGTCTATAGAAACTTAGTGAGCCCAGGGTGGTCCAGGGGGTATCATGGTATGTCAGACTTACAGAACGTTTGTAGAGACCCACAAGGAGATGCTTCATGCAAAATACAAAATACCTTGAAATTTTAGAGAAGAAGATTTTTTTTGAAATTTTTACTTTATTTGAGGACCATCTAAGAATCATTCCTGTAAAAATTGGTCAAAATCCATCATGTGGTCTATAGTAGCGTTTTTTTAATAAATTGAGGACAACAACAAACGACAGATGACAAAAGATAGACATACTGCTAACCAAAAGATCTGACACCTCTGAGCACTTTGTGCTCATGTGAGCTAGAAAGGGGGTATAACTCTGCAAATATGCTTAGCAGACAAAAAGTACCCATATACATGTAGCATGAAACAACCTAAATTATCTAAGGAAAATCACAAAATGTAATAATTGTGCAAAAAATCATATACATGTAACATAATAATAAAATAATAATGCAGTCAGAGCCCCTGTTTTGCATTAAAATTACACATGTATGAAAAAGAAATACCAAAACCTCTTATATATGACCACTTGATAAACTATCTTTAATGCTTGCAAACACATGTATTTTTTAAGTCCTGTATATACTTGTGGTTGAAAGTTGACAATAAATAGTTTTGGATAGGTTTATTAAAAGCAAAACAAGTTAAAACAGCTGGCAAATTCATCCTATTTTTAATGAAAGCTCTAAAAAAGTATTTAAAATTTTAAATGTGAAATGTTGTGAAGTGAACAATTTTTTTTTTTACAAAATTTGCTTGCAATCCACATAAATTACCAAAAAGGAGATCAAAATAAGCAAAAATAGCCCTAAGACCTTGCACTGTGTTAGTAAGACAGTAAGAGATATGTTGGTAAACACTGACAATAATTACTGCAAAATCCAGTCCTTAATCATAACATGAAAATTATCATTTGTATAATTACGTACTTGAATTTAAAACATTTTTTCTTTTCTACACTTTTATCAAGTTTTATTTTCTTGAATATTTTGGCTCATCTGGAGGCATGCCGCTTTAAGAGCCAAAAGTATACTTTTATTAAAAAATATTGGGCCTAATATTTATCTGGCTCGACTAAACCGACATAACAAGGGCTGCATGCTGGTGAATTCAAAATTAATTTTTAGCTTGAGTATATGTAGAGCAGTGCTACTCACTCATGCATTGGCATCTGTACTATTCAGTTTTAGTGCAGCAATATAATTTGATATTTCATTTTTTTAACTTTTAACTTCAAATATTATATATGTTCCTTATCATCACTCAATTCATATGGGACTCCAGTTATATTTCTCACTTAATAGAAAGGGACCTTAGATTTAGGTAAAAATTATTGCTAAAATTTCCACTTTGGGTAGAAAATCAGCTGGTGTACATAAGGAAAACTGCATTATTTCAAAGAAAAATTCAATTGGACTCTAGCATCAATATTTCTAGAATTAGCTCCCCTAAAGCCTAGTATAAGTTACTCTATTTTTTTACTCTAAACATAACTTGAATTTACTTCTTTTTTCAGGGATACACTTCAATATAATCAAAGTCCCCTTAGCCTTGGTGCTACAGAAATAAGTGTTGATTAATGAAAAAAATAAATATTTTAAGCGAAACCTGATTCATACTTTGTTGCTTTAATTTAATAAATATTAGACTGCTGCATTATCTTACTACCTGAACCATACTAGGGATAGTGGTTCACAAAATGTGTGTTTGATAATAACATACTAATAAATATAAAGGGGGGGGGGGGGATTTCGGCCCTCTACCAACTTGGCACGGGTCAAATGGGCACAGGCCAACTCGGCCCACTTTTTTGAAAAAAAAACATAACTTTTTCTGATAACTGCAAGCTGTTTTCAAAACTTTTTCCTTGACATGTCAAAGTCAAAACATTCAGTATCAGGCATAATTTCAGTTTCAAAGTCAAACCGGCAATCAAAAATAAACATGCATGAAACAATTTGCTGATCACTTATAAATTCAATATAACAATCTGGCACATAGTAAATATTTACAAGTTCTCCAAGAAAAATTCGCCTGGCCTGTTTGTTATGTTTATCGAAATAATATGACGTGAATATCGATGATGTCATTTTGGAAAATTATTTATAAATTGTGACGAATCACTTCATTAAATTGGTGCTTAAAACTTAACTATTCGCTATCTAATCTGTTCGTAATTGAAAACGAATAAAATAACAAATAGACTTGTCAGGATATTAGATAAAATTGTTGGATTAAAGGCTAATAAGCTATTGAAACAAGTCTGTTAAAATGGGGGGAGCTTATTTTTGATATCAGGTTACTAACCTGATATCAAAAATAATTATCAGTCAAGTGTGATCGAGCAGTTATCATCGCAGTTGCATGATAAAAATTAATATAATACAAATGTGTTCCCTTCAAAATGATGCTTTTTGTTTGTTAAAGTGATCTTCAATAAAAAAAGAAATATAAACTTGTTACTTATTATATAAAATATTTTTAAATGTTTGTTATTTATCTTGTATACATAAAACAACATGTAATGCATTTATCAACAGGCAATGTATTTTGCAATGTCACAAGGATGGATTGTAATGAATTCATATTATCCCAAATCATTGAAAACTCTTATTACCAAAAATGTAATAACAATTTAAGAAAACGTCTTTCAACGTTGTGAATAAGTCCATTTATTCTGCTACTGTCTATATCATCAGCTGGATAAAGCTTTGCCGGATAAACTTATCTATCTCCAGTCATTACGTCATATGATTACGACATGTGTTTAGCAGCAAAACAAAACTACACATATAGATGCTATTTTATCGGGGAAAAAGAAGAATGAAACCATCTAATTATTATAAAAACATTGATTAAAGCAGGATAAATCAAATACATGGTTGATGTCGGGATGGAGAAGGATTATCCGGTTCGATGCGAAAGTGAATCTTGGTTCGCTAAATCTCGCCAAGATACACTTTCTCGCTCACCAGATAAACCTTCTTTCATCCCCCACATCAACCATGTATTTTCTATATATCAATAATATGGTTCCAACAACAGAGAGTGATAAAACAAACCAATATATTAACACTGATAATCAGATTAATTAATTTTTAAGTGGGCCGAGTTGACTATGGAGTTGATCCGTGCCGAGTTGGAATAGGGCCGAGCTGACTCGGGGCCGAGTATGTTAGGGCCGAGCCGACACTTATTCAAATCAAATACATATAATTAGACAATATATCAGTAAAATTAAGTGTGCCATACCCCTAGATGTCGGCTGGCTGGTCGGCTAAAACAAAATTAAGAAACGAAAGGTTGAGCTACATACCGCCCATTTCTTAAAACAGACTGACATGGCCTACAGTACCTGTAAGCATTAATAAAAACTAACATACTTTCATCGATACTTGAAATAACCACATTCTAATAGCGAGCTCGACGAGCTGGCCCGAAGGGCCTGCTCGCAAAGCGAGCTTTACGGTAACGCGAGTACCTGCTAAGTGATGGTTTTGAAAACTTTCGTCAAAAGTACTGAATTGGACACATCGCAACCTTTCGAATTTAAAGATAACGATAAAAACTGAGGAATTCTGACTGAAAACGGATGTGTAGACTGTCACCCGCGCACGTCTATGGGAACCATAATTGGACAGGGAACCAGAATAACGGAAGCTGTGTATAAAAAATGAAAATCGAAGGCGCCATTTTGCAAACTCCTCACAGCGGTTACGTCACGCTTTGCTACTTTAACAAGCTTACCTCGATCAAAGCTCTTCGATTTTCCAGGATTTTCTATCAACTCGACATCGGGAACGAACGATGTCGAAAGACTGCATTTGGACAATATTTCATCCACACGATACGTTGTCACAGATAAATAAAAGTTGGTATCGTAGAAAATATCTCTATGCTCATGAATAAAAGGAAGAACTACACTTGGATTAATTAATGAGCTTCTAAACGAGGTTAACACACAAATGTACCAGAAAGTCTTACATTTCTCACGTCCCCGTCCGACAACTACCTGCGCATGCGCAGAACGTAAAGTCTTACGTTTCTCACGGGTCTGACAAAATTCACGCCACACCGGAATTGGGCTGCTCCTTAAACATTTGAACCGGTATGACTAAATAACGCAACGGTGATATTTTTGCACAAATGGCAAAAATTTACTCAAGATTTTCCTCACATATTGCGGTTGGAGGCATGCAGCTTTATATACTGTTTATTCCAATCAAATGTTATAAACATTTTTATGTAAATCAGGGACTTAAAATTGTAGAAACTTTTATTTTGATACTACTTTTAATATATATACATGTGTATATCATTTATTTTAAATCTAGTTTTATCACATAACATAAATTGTTCCCTTTAAGAAAAAGTACCCCTAATGCGCCGAGAAAAAAAAGTCCATTTTACCGGCATATAATCATTCAAAACATTTAAAAATATGAAGTGTAAAACAGACTTTCAGTATGATACTATAATAGATATAAATAATAAATTCTATTTATTTAAATAATTGTTATTTATAACCATTCATTGTGTTTATGAAAAAAATATCCCAATATATTTTCGAATTAAACAAATCTTCTACAGCAGCAAAAAGACTTCTCGCATGCTTCTTTTTAAAGATTACCAATTGAGCTGAACTTGATAGCGGATATGGAGCATAACGTCACTTTTAGTGAATTGGCTTAATTACTACGCAAATGTGTATTACAAATTTCAACATGAATAAGTACACAGTGTTATCAGCCCGGTTGACATGGAAGTGCCTGACAACGCAAAAACTGTACCTACTTAAATAACCTACATACTTAATCCCGACGCAGTGAAAAATTTTGAGGTTTAAATGGAATGCAAAAAGTAAAACTAAATTTTTTCTTGTTAGATAACTAGCTCTTATACCAGCTATAATATCGAAATAATCGCTTTGTAAATAGCACAAAAAGGAGTTGTAAGTATACTGTGTGTAAAACACCAAAATGCTTTTAAATTTATCATAAAATAAACAATTGCTGTCGATGACGCAGAATTCTAAAAAGCCGAACGACTCTTGACATTGAGCCGGGAGATTTTGCTCGCATTGGAATTACTTTTCCACGAGATTAATGTACAATCTGATGTAAGTTTAGTGCAGAATTTCAGACAGTTCACATATTTTGTTTTGATATTCATTTTTGTATATGACTCAAGCATTTTATTACGCAAAATTATACAATAATAGGAAAGCGTTTTAACCTTTTTAAAACAAATCTGACTAAAAATCGCTCTACAGAGGTCGGTTTTATAATATTTTTTTATTAGGTTTTACAAATTTTCCGCTTTAAGTTCCCTAGTTGATATTTTATAGAATTTTAAATTTCATGTATTTTAAGCTTTTGGACCTCAGTTGGGCTCCTTTAACATTAACTCGCGTATAGTATGTATTGTTTTAAAACATGGGTTGCGAAGGTCATCGTGCAAAATAAAAATAATTAATTTTTCAAAGCTTTGACAAAAAATAACATTACAATAGTAATATTTATAAGAATTTTAGAAAACAACAAAAAGATTGGTGATAAGATAAAATAATAATAAAGTAATAATATGTTGCTCTGATGATGAATTCTATCGAGAGCAATACAATCAAATACAAACGGCTGAATTGATTGAAAACCAATTTCTGATTGGTTTTGTTTGTTTATCAGAAAATATGGAGCGTGCAACATCTTTAACTGCCCCACTAGCACCAGTTAAAGCGGAAACTAAGCCCAACTGTATCGGCATCAATGCTCTCAAGGGAACAGAACACTACTAGAATTATGATGCTAAGATAAATTGGAAGACAACATTTTACAGCTGCCCTAAAACATTAAATATATGCTTTTGTGAGTAAAAACAAAGTGAAATTGTGAAAATTGCGGATTTGTATAAACGCAACTTACTTGTACGCAGTTGCTCCAATCGGAGCAACGACATTTGCCAATGTCTGTTGGACATGCCGTCTGTTATCTTTGAAACTGGTATACCAAAGTTGACATATAACCGAAACTTCAAAGAAAGGCTTTGTTCCAATGATAAACACTCTTTCCCTTTCCAGAACATAATATGCAGAAATAACATAAATTGTTTCGTTCACGTCAACTACACCCCAATTTCCCTCGGTGTTTAGTTGTGAAGGGAATTTTGTATCATTGCAGCGTTTTTGTACCAAAGCATTTTTCCAATCGGTAAAAGTAATGTTCACGTTCCAAGGCAATGTTGAATCAAGTCTAATATACGTAAGAAATGCAATAGTTACTGCCATTACAAACGTGAAAACTTTCGAACATATGTAAACGTATTTAAAACTTGATGACATGTTATTTTGTATAAGATGTGTTACGTGCGACAAACAAAAGTTAATAGCACCCTATAAATATAGCATTTATTTAATTTAACATTATCTTAAGTTCAAGATACTTACAATAACATGTATCTTTACACATGAAACAAAATTATATTATCACTGTTAGAGATTAAATCCATATATTTACAGAAAATACCACAAAGTAGTTCCAATTTTTACGATATTTAACGAGCACGAAAAGAAAATTTTTTCTTTTGACTATATGAGCTGATAAACATACTTTATTGCACTGCTTATACACTTTTTAAATATGTTGTCATAAAATAAGTTCCTCAAATTTAACCTTTAACACATCCAAGATAAGAGGTGAAAAACAACGTTTCAGCCTATACAGCACTGTGTTGTTATATTTAGCGCACTCGAATCAAGCGTCACTTAGATGCATCTGTACATCATCTTAACAGTAATGATTTATTCAGCACTTTTGTTACTATAAATATAATACTGATACAGTGATGAGTTCAAGGTATTTTTATGAGCAGACGACTTCCTCTATTTGTTTAGTGACATTCTAAATGGTAATAGCAAACAATCTCAAACTATTTGTTTTATTCTTTTCACCTCAGTCTAGATTTAAAAAAATCCTTTTTTCATTAGAATCATTGATAACAAGCCTGTTTTGTTTGTGAAGTTTTTAAACATATCTTATCGCTTTGTTGACAAGACACATTTATACATCAGCATAATAGCCCTTTCGTCATGGTTTGTGTTAAGCTCTATTCAAATGATTATCTTTTGTCACAAGTGAAGAGCCAGGTTATTCTTCCAGATATGTGCTAAGTTCTATTCAAATGGTTATTTTTGTCACAAGTAAAGTGCCAGGCAGCTTGCACATCCATGCAGTCTGACCACGCTCCGTATTGTAGGTTTGCTTTCAAGTATGACGCCATACACATAAAGCCTGGAACAACACAAAACAAAACAAAGAAACAAACAAAAACAGAAATATAACACACACTTTAATGCAATACGTGACAATTTATTGCATGTGCGTTTGTTTAGATTTTGTGTTTTTCCCCTTCCAAGACCGGAAACCGAAAATGAAGTACAGTTAAAAACAATGCGTTTGATAATTCACCTATTATTTTAAAGTTTTATTATAATAATAGATAAAAATACATTAATTATTCAAAAACATTTTTGAAGGCTTTAATTATTTATTCTAAAATTCATACATTTTGCTATTGAAAAGTTACATATGAGGTAAACATATATCTTTATAATCTAACGAATTAAAGTGTAAATATCACTTTAAAATATCTTCAATTATAATATGTAAATTATGTAAGCCTTCAATCATGTCTATTTATTACCACGCATTTATCTTAATGTCTGAATGTTTGTTGGGTAAGAGAATGTTACGCATTGTATATTCCGTATAATTATAAATATTCAAAAAAATATTAAATGCAGGCGACCATGACGGACGGTGTCTAGCTTTTTGGTTATTGCAACAACTTAAATTACATTGAATGTTTTCTTTTCTTCGTTGGATTCTTTTCTATATACATGCATTGAGCTGCTTAAAAGTATGCACCCCTGGTCACAGAGAAACTTGCTATACTAATCAAAGCAAAATATTGGCATATTTATTATCATTAAATTGCAGAAATGTCTTGTCAATACTATGTTTTAAATTCAATTGAAATTCGATTCTTATCAAAAGTATACATGGAATAAAATTCCGCCCTCTGAACATGATGTTTTGATAATGTAAAATATGACGTCATTGTTAAGTGTTTGCACGTGTTCAGGAGCGTATATGAATATGAGTTTTTGGGCACGGTATGCAAACTCATAATCAGTCACGTGACACTCATAATCAGTTACAATGAAAGACAATGTTTATACTATATAAAGTAACAAGTGTATTAAGACGTGATACAAGTATTCACCGACAGAAAGAATACCATATTGACCATAAGGCTCACAGGTCAGTAATTGTATATTAAATCAAAAGTCAAAACAAACAAAAAAACTGTGTAAAACATAAATAATTTTATCAACACAGAAGTTTACACTTTGTTATTTAGTTGATATATAACATGTGTAACGATAAAACTGAATTGAAAGAAAGACGAAGTTCAATATTTCACGAGAGATATGAAGCAAAATATCCAATGAACCAGATTTAGTAGGGGTAAATACAATTATATGTAATGCAAACTACATGCTGTGTATCCCATTTATAACATCCAAGTTATTCACCGAACCATTTGTATTACAAGCATTCAACAACTTCAAATTGTACAAAAAAACATGAAGATTGTGTGGTTAAAGGAAAGTAATTTTATTAACAGGATTAACATTTTAAGGCGAAATATATCCTAAACTTTTGATGAAAACAAAAACTGAATCTGCAACAAAAGTCTGGGGATGAACCTTGACTTTGTAACGTTTAAAGTATAATATAATGTAATGCAATGCAATGCTATGCAAAACTATACAATACAATACAATATCATATTTATACAAATATGGAAATTTTAGCTGGTGAATATGATGTATATTGACCGGGGCGATTTTGCAATTTCATGTTTAAATGTTGAATTCTGCTTAAGCCGGTGCTAGGGGGCGTGAACGGTAGTTTGCACTTGCACTTGACAGTACCGTCCACGAACAGGCTCAATCAAACCGAGCCTGCAACATTTTTAATTTTGCCATTTTGGACTTTCTTTAGGGGTTCTTATATTCTCTACTTTATTTCCACATCAGCGTTGTTTCTGCCGTCTGGAGGCTGTGAAAAGTCGCCCCGTACATTCAATCAGAGATGTTTTATTTCCGATCCATAAAGATCTTCAACACGACACTATTGTTGTGTTTGTGGTATTTTTTAGTTTCATCTATTTGTCTTTTTCGATTTGGGTGGTTCCAATATTCCTACTTGAATAATGTTGAATCACCCTTAGGATATGTTGCCTGCTTTTTAACTTTATTTTTTGACGTCTTATCTGTGATACGCAGGCTTCATAACCTCTGATCAACTTTCAAAATTCTATTTTGTTTTGTTCCGCCCATTGTTTTCTCGTTTAAGACACACGCTTAATTTTACTCGAGGTCTATACGCCGCTTTTCATTTAATCACACGTGTCACATTAAAGGTTCCATGATGACCGCCTTAAGAATACATATGCGGACGTTTCAAAATTCATAATTTTGCCATTTCATGTTTAAATGTTGAATTCTGCTTAAGCCGGTGCTAGGGGCATGGACGGCAGTTTGCACTTGACTGTACCGTCCATGAACAGGCTCAATCGAACCAAGCCTTCAACATTTTCAGTTTTGCCGATTTGGAATTTCTTAAGGGATTCTTATTTTCTCTATTTTTTGCTGTTATATCTTGTGAACTAGATAGTTGACCTGTTTTGTCAGGTGTGACTACTGGCTTTTTGAACGAAGATGGATAGATGTACCTTATTAATTATAGCCACACATTATTAAGTTTCATTGTATTTTAAAGTTGATTAATTCTTTTGCCGTGTAATAAAACTTGACTACTTGTTTGTTTTTTTGTTAACGCAAAATATAAATAAATAAAGAAGTTAATACCGGAGATAAAAAATGCAAATTTCATGAAAGGTCAACGCCGGCGGATAGATTTAGGCTCGGCATTTTAGCCAAAAAATAAGACCCAACCTCAAACAAATTCCTTCAGAAAAGATATTTGCATATTTGTTATCTACTATATATGTGTTGCTACAGGAAAAAAGTCTTCAAAAAAATTCGAAGTATAAAATTCTAAAAATGACATGTTTTGAAATCATGTGTTTTCAATTAGAAAAAATCTGTGAAATTAAAATGTACGCAAATCTGGTCATTAACAAAGTAACACATTAATACACAAACATTCTTTATTTAATCAAAAACACTTCAACCAATGTTGATTACATTCAAAAAGTCGCAACACTGCATAATCTATACATCATCATATAGACTGGTATAAAAACATTACCCCACCCACTAATGATAAATATTTTTTTTACTTTAAGTCAGATTCCATTAAATATTCTTACAAGTTAGCTCAGCCTCTACCAAGAATAAAGTTGTATGAATCTATCTAAATTCATATTATAATTCAAAATTGCAATACATTTTACACAAATAATTATTTATATGCATTTCTGTTCTGAAAATCAATCCTTCAAGTAAATATCTTACCAATGCTAAATTGCACTTACTTTACCATAGAAAGTTTGTAAAAAATATTTGTAAAAAACATTTTAAAATAAAATGAATCTTCTGAATGTTAAGACACTGGAAAAAACACAGTGTTATTTCATCATTTTTGTCACCGAGGCCCGACTATCCATATAGTCTGACAACGCTACACATGTATATATACATATATATACATATTGCCCTGCCCTTGTTCAATGATGAAATTATATCTCCACTTTTTCGGCTGGTGCTGTTGAAACCTTTAGCCTGCCCTTTTCACAGAGACACATTGTTTGGCATCTGTAAAATTGTTACAACATAATATGATAAATAAAAATGCGAACTTTGCATTCTGCTTTTAAAATAAAACAATTTTATGTCAAACTGAAAATGTAGGTACTATGAAAAGCAAGATAGGATTGTGCTTTTAGATTTATATTTTTATATTGAATTATCTAGAAATAATTCATACATAAATGAGGCAGGTTTAGCCTCAGCAAAAACGTGCCTCAGCTTTCTTCCTTAGAAAATATGTTTCATGTTATATTGTTATAACAAATTTAAAGCGTGTAAATTGCCTATCGCCTGAAATAAGCGCTGACTGTGAAACATGATAATGTGCCATATAAGTAGGAAATACTGAACAAAACAGCACCTATACTTTCATACAGATAACTAAATAGGAAGTTTTGGTCGAGTGTTTAAGGTCCTGACTTTAAAACACTTGCTACTTACGCTGTTAACGATGTAGGTTCGAGTCCTGCCTGGGTTTTGGAATCAATTATCTGACATAGCTATTCCAAACTAGCTTATAGAATATTGGTGGTTCTACGCGCTAAAAATAATACCTATGTCACACTTTTTCCTTCACAAGTAAAGCTTGAAGTTATTATATGACCTGTAAAGTCTTGATGTAACATAAAAACCCAACAAACAAATCTCTGATCTTAGTAATTCCGAGAATGTAAGAAAAACTGCAGTTTTGGACACTAAAAATGAAAACTGCAGTTTTGGACACTAAAAATAAAACACCTTTAAAAGAAAACCATTTAACTTTTACAAATGTGAATTCCCTTTAGAAAATTTACAACTGTTCTAAAAATGCTGACAACAACATGGAAAACATTACTTAAAATATACATACAACTGGCACTGGTATCATGAGGGTAGATTATCAAGCTACACAGCATTTAGAAAGAAAACAATTGAAGCAAATTTAATATGT